ACTTCTGTGCCAACCCTGGCAATGCAAAATAGGGCAAACTGCTTCTCTCCTTCACCTACACAACAAAACAAAAAAAAAAAAAAATGTGAGAATAAGTTAAGTGCGAGTGGTAACATTCATTACAGGGGTCTACACTCATTATGTAATGAGATCACAAAATGTACAGAGCACCAGCAACACGTCTTATTGTTTTAGACACAGCATCCCTAGAATTATTTACTGTATATGCATCCTCAACAGAAAGTAGGTCATACCGTCATGGTATATGAATATTACATCTCACCCTCACAAAACAAATGTTAGACGTAGGAGCATAACGACCTTTATTTCTGCGATTTAAAATTTTTTTAGTGTTAATTTCCAGATGGAGTTAAATGGCAGGATAGGATATCCAGTGAAGAAGTGGCAAAGAGATGTGGTTTAAGAGAGATACAGAATAGAACTAGACAGAGAAGACTACAATGGTTTGGGCATGTTAGAAGGGAGACAGAAGGAGGAGTATGAGGTTTGTGGAAGAATTAGAGATCCCTGGAAAAAGACCGGTTGGAAGACCAAAGAGAACATGGATAGGGACAGTGCAGAAAGATCTGAAGGACTTGAATATAGATGAAGGATCAACGCAGGACAGAGAACGGTGGAGGAGGATCATCGCAAGTCCAACCCCAGGCACGGGAAAAGATGGACTATAGACGAAGATGATGATGATGATGATGATGATGATGTTAATTTCCAGATGGCTTCTGTATCAAAAACAATGTGAAATCAAAACAATTGTTCATGCGTTGGTGCCAACAACTTTTAAATACCAGTGTTACACTTGCAAAATTAGTTGCAAATAAGTTTCTGCCATATTAGTTCTGTAATGGTATTTGGTCGGGCACATTAGACAGGACAGTGTGACTATGTGTTTATCTGTTTCTCATCCACTCTTAGTAGCCCGTGTGTATTGTATAATAACCCATCATACATAAATATCACAACAGTAAAACTTAATTAACTGATTTTAAGTGTTATATCAGGATGGTAGTGGAGTAGAGTATGGAGTGTGCACGAATGCACGTATTCATACTCGTATTTATATAAAGCACACACAGCACGAAGTGAATACTTACGATGTCACACTGACAATTAAGGAACAACAACACACCTGGGTTTTTCTTGAAATGATCAGCTTCCTTCCACTGCAGCGGTATTCTGATACCTAGAAGATGATCCGTAAAAACATTAGTGGTTTACTGAAATACTACGTACCGACATATACAATATTGTGACTGATAGCATAAATAACGATCTGATCACTATGAATAGTTAGTTATACCTGAAAGTGCCAGTTTCCCTTTGCATGGGTTCATCTTCTTTTTGCCACTGCTAGATCTGACAAGAGGTAAAAAAGAGTCAGAAATATTATACATGAGATGTGATAAATGCATCAGTAAAATGGAAAACACTTTCAGAACATTGGAATATATGGATTGGAAATTCAAAGGGCTTCAAAACTATTATTAGGGTAGGGGTAGGGTAGTTCATCGATATATCAATGTATCGCAATACAAACCTTGCTAATAAAAGTATTTGACAATTCATGATACACATATCAGTATTGACTGTACTCACAATAACTTACTGACATTTAGTAGTGTAGATTCATCTAAAAACCAAAGAAATATGACTTTAATAGTAGTTTTATAACCACTGGTATGAAACCTCTCTCGATAGTTCATGATAAAGAGTTTGAGTTGATAGATGTTTTAGATTCATGCTATCAGGGGTTAATAATGACAAAAAAGTTTGACACGTATTCGGTACTGATTTCACTACATTTTGACGTACGAGTTCGATGTGAATAAAAATAAAAATGTATACAAACATGAGCTTCTTATGTTCACTGGTCCATATTCTAGCTTCCGGTAGTATTACAAACCGCGTAGCTTCCTTCGTTTTGACATAAATCGTACTTTTGCACATGGTTTTCACGTTATTTACCGTTGTGTGGCGTTGCCAAGTGGCAAATTCTCATACGACAAAATGTAGTGAAATCAGTACCGACTATGTGTCAAACTCCTTTGTCATTATTAACCCCTGCAGCTATTTATTACCTACAAGAAAGCACTTCTCTGACAAAGTCATTCCTGCACTATACAATGAGACCAAAGACAAAATTGTATCTGACCTAATACATGCAAAATAGTTGCACTAATCGATCTCGTATTTGCCAGAGTTGCGTGACAATCATTTCATTTCAGAATTAAGGATACTGTAAGGGTTACGGACCGGTAACACTGTAAAGGGCATTGCAACATAACTACTCATCAAATTCAATCAATCTCATATCCATTACATACGAGAGATGTCTCTCTACGCTCTCAACATTTTTTTTTTAATTCATCCGTCGCTAATTAATTGATACAAAAAATTGTGAATTTATACAAAACCATGCTTTTATTGCTATTTCTCAGAAACAGCAAAGAGTTGGGACCTAAACTTTTAACCATAAGACAAGTTGTTCATAATATGAACTAAAAAAGAGTCCCTGGAATTTTGTTAAATGCTTTAATTCAGGAAATAAGTTGAAAAGATGTACAAAAATTTGTAGTGAATTTCTAAACCCAACAATTTCGTAAACACAGAGGCATAACTCATAAAATATAATATTTAAAAAAAATTCCAGGGACCGTTTTTTCCTTTGATATGTTAGCATTGAAACGTTACAAGAAATTTTGGAATCGGAGTTGCGAGTTTCGAGAAATAGCGCTTGAAAAATCACCTACTTTAGCATTTTTAACAACCGAGATATCAGCACTTTTATAAATTTCCCATCATTGAACGCCTGTGTTAAGAATTGACTAAAGCGGGAATTTTGAATTGTTTGGGAGGTGAAATACATCACAATCAACTAATACATAGCTGCCCATGGCTGCAAACTATCAACTAAAATGGGTAGAAAAATTATGACCAAAAATTCGTCTCTAAGTCTAACCCTTACAGCTTAACGAATGGCAGCGTCACAACTATATGCTGAAGAGTGCAAACCAGATTGCTGGACGAATCACACACACCGGTGTGCACATTGGATCAGCATTGAATGATGCACAGTGCATGAAAATGGTTTTGAAAAAACTGAGTCAGTAGGCCCCTAACATCACTAGTGTGAGCTCCATCACCCATTTTCTCGCCTCATAAACCTAAGTTACCTTATGTTCACATTTCTGAGGTAAATGTTAAAAAGCAGTTATTGTGATGCATAATATAATTTGCTTGGGCGGTACAGCTACCTTGATCCTGCGAGACAAATGCTTAAAACATGGATTGTAAAGTGATGGGTACTTGCCTTATTTTGAGTATGCAAAACCTGCCTCTGCCAAGAGGATGGCAGGGGGGAATACAATGTCAAGCTTTCATGAGATATGTGCTAAACTTAATGGAATTTCGATCATTTAAAACTAATTATATCTACTGACATGTGAAGGAATGAACATTTGGTTCCTTCTCCAATGATTTACAAGGTGAATGGAAATGGATGTATGATTGAAAAGAAAGGTGCATAACATTGCCTTTTTGATTGACTATCTAAGAGTTTTTAGCATATATGGAGTAATATAAAGTACATGGCCTATCTAAACTCGTATGCTATAGATAACCACGCGGGCAGTTTTGTTACACTCTAGTAGAATGATCCTCACTTGTTCTTTAGATCGAGTCTGCTGAGCACTTCGCTGGTCTTGCACCTCTGTAGCTCAGTCATGTATGCCAGCATGCGCGCGTTGCTTGTGACCAAGTCCTTACTGCCCTCCAATATTTGCTGGAAGTTGTGGCCGGCAGCCAGCAGCTTGGTGGTACCGTCCCGCATGCGAATCTCATGGTCAATGAGTGTGTTAATGTTATCAACCTGCAACGAATTATTGATGTCATTATATGGATGATAAATTTAATGTTGGCATAATCCTAATGGTGACTGAATTCACCAATGAATTTCCTTGAATTTCACCAATGGATCTGATTGTAAACATTGTATCAGAGATGTATAAATTATATAAAAAGTATAACTTTGCAAGTATAAAAATTGCAACCTTATATTTTGGCAGTTCAAAGTGCTGCTGTTAGTGTTATTGTGATTAAGAGTAATTTAGCGAGG